AAAAAAAATACTCTTTTTTGATTACCCGGAGCTTCAAATTGTAACCTTTTCCAAAGTTTACAAATTGAAATTTAATGCTTGGTGATAGTTTGAAATTAATAATAAATTACACCTGAAATATTGTGAGTAAATATAAATTTTAACACAAGAGAATGATTGAATTATATAAATTATAATTATTCAAATGAATTTAAATCAAATTTTGCCATTTGAATTTAAAAATATTAATTTTCTGGCAGCCGGTGTTGAGTTGGGTTGTCACGCAAATTTCCGAAAAAAAATATAAATCGCAAAACTTGCAGTATGGCAAAAAGAGTCGATGTGTCGTCAAATGAAACCCCTCTCAAACCGGTTGGCCAATCCGGAGCTAGAGTAGCGTAGGTAGAGTTCGAAATTCGAACATAGCTAGCGTAGGGATTGTAGGGGGATTTCACTGCTTGCATCTATACGAAATTGGTATAGGTAGCGAAGACCAATGCTATTACAGCGGCTATTCTACTACAAAAGGTGCAATTCACCCTGAACGTGATCCGGTATATGTGACCTGGTGATATATCGTACGATCGATCGTACGATCCCTTTTGTAAGCATGGGACCAGGAATGCTATATATGATCGTCCGGCCCACAGAGACGATATCTTGTCCCTGGAATAGCGAGAAGATCAAGTCGGTGAATGTTTGGCAAGCATGAATTGAGTGAAATTGTGCTGGCAAAGTCAAAACTTCGTTTTCAAATTCACGTATTTAAAGATAATAAGATTTACTTTAGCAAATAGTGGTTTGGTTCACAAACAGTTAATACGGTTCGCGGAAAGTGATTTCGGCGTAAATTGTAAGGCCACCACGTGGCCTTGATCCTCCTTATCGCCAACGTTGAGGCCAGTAGTGGAGTCCCAAGTAGCATTTCTTGTTTTATTGCACTCTATTAGTGGTTATTGAGATCAATTTCATAAAACCGCCAATAAAATTAATAGCTCCAGCACAACCTTTTGATAACCGCTATAAGATCGTCATACAGCTTAGTGGACCACTCTTGATAAGGTTTATAAAGCATGTTTGAGAATCACAATAAAGCTGTCTTAAAACCTTTTGTCAGGAAGCCTCATACTCTACAAAAGGTTCTCATAGCCTCTATAAGAGTAATATTGTATCCAAGCAGTTTTATTACGCTTTGGTGGAAATCAGTTATAAAGCCAATTTAATTTGTATTGGCTTCAAAGCAACCGCCATAAATTAGCTTGTTGTTGTTCTGTTCTGCTGAAACTTTTTTTTCCAAATGGAAATCTTTAGCGGTAAAAATAGGTTTGAGTGTTGGTGTCAAGATCACCATGCAATCAATTTTGTTTCATGGCGACATAAGTGAAAATCTTAAAGAAAATATATTAATTTTTAGAAGTTCGAAAACATATGCGCTTGAAATGTTATCGTGTATATTGAGATAATATGAGCGTTAAATAAATGCGCCTCCAAAATAATTCAAGTTAACAAAAATGATTGTTTCAGAAATCAAAAGAATTTGATGGAATCACCTTAATTTTACAGAAAGTAGATCTCAATACATAAATTCATACCAATGCACACTGGAAATCATTTCGGATCTCTTATTTAGCCATTATTTTATTGAAATTTCTTGGATTTTATTCCAAGGCTAATGGCATTTTCATAATGACAATATGGCGACAGAGGACAGCAGGCAAGAAAAACACCAAGCGCAATTTCTTAAAATGTCTAATGCTTACATTGCACGCTGGGTCAGGAATGCAACCTAGCAGAGCAAAATTAATAACTCCGAAACGAAGCATTTCCGCGACTTGGTGTCTTTGGCAAAATTTCTCGTCATATTGACATAAACAAATAGTTCAAAACTCTTCCGAAAAGATGGTGTCACAATCTAACTTCTTTCTCTGACGTTTTGGAGACTTGATGTCTTTGGCAAAGTTGTTTATCTTGAAAAAATGAACAGCTCTTTCAAAGACGTTAAATTTCCACTGTCTACTGGTTCCAAGTTATATGGAGTTAAAGAAAAAAATGTCGAAAATATGTTTTTTTTTCTGTTTTGGTTTTTTTGCTTACAGCTTTATAATGTTATATTTTTCTCTTATGCAAATACATTAAATAAATAGCTTTTGTGAAGAAACATACTGGATTAAGCTTCAAATTTCAAAGACATTGTTGAAAAAACGAGAAAAAAAAAACACAATTTTTGAACATTAATATCTCCTAAAGCGTAAAAAATCGCAACCTGACATTTTCAGCAAAAATTAAGCAATACTCGATAAACAAAATATCAAAATTTGAGAGAGGTATATTTTGGTGTTTTGTAGATTTCTTCATTTTAATGGAACATTATTTTTTTTCTATAACTATTTGTTTATGTCAATAGATGGTCCTTATTATGACGAGAAATTTTGCCGAAGACACCAAGTCGCGGAAATGCTTCGTTTCGGAGTTATTAATTTTGCTCCGCTAGGTTGCATTCCTGGCCCAGTGTGCATGGGATGAAAGCAGAACAGAAAAGCATAATACATGATTTTATTACGAGAACTATTTTCTTTTTACAAGAGCAATTCAAGCTGAACTTTGCATTAGGTCCTAAGTAACATTGATCGATTCTCTTCGTCGACTTTCTCTTTCGTTAATAACTTATTCACAGAACCGTTTCTTGTTGTGTTTGTCGTATTAGATGCTAAAGGGTGATACGGTCAAAATTTGGTCAATATCAACTTGACGTATTTCTTTCAATTTTGCATTTAAAAAACCTGAACACCCCTCATTTTGAAGGTGTGTGTGTGTAGAATGTTGCTCCTATTTTGATTTTGGAATTCACTCTTCAGTTGTCAAAATGCCGTCCAACCAAGAAGAGCAGCGTATCAAAATTTTGCTCGCGCATCGCGAAAATCCGAGCTACTCGCACGCAAAGTTGGCAAAATCGCTAAAAGTTGCCAAATCAACCGTTACAAATGTAATTAAAGTGTTTGGGGAACGTTTGTCGACAGCCAGGAAGTCTGGATCGGGGAGAAATCGAAAACCGGAAGCCGCTGAGACGACAAAGAGAGTTGCCGGTAGTTTCAAGCGAAACCCTAACCTCTCTCTCCGAGATGCCGCAAATAAGCTGGGTGTATCGTCTACAACCGTGCATCGAGCCAAAAAACGAGCCGGACTATCGACTTACAAGAAGGTAGTGACTCCAAATCGCGATGATAAACAAAATACGACGGCCAAAGCGCGATCCCGGAGGCTGTACACGACGATGCTGACGAAGTTTGACTGCGTGGTAATGGACGACGAAACCTACGTCAAAGCCGACTACAAGCAGCTTCCGGGACAGGAGTTTTATACGGCAAAAGGAAGGGGAAAGGTAGCAGATGTTTTCAAGCACATGAAACTGTCAAAGTTCGCAAAGAAATATCTGGTTTGGCAAGCCATCTGTACCTGTGGCTTGAAAAGCAGCATTTTCATAGCTTCCGGGACTGTCAACCAAGCAATTTACGTGAAAGAGTGTTTGAATAAACGTCTGCTGCCTTTCCTGAAGAAACATGGTTGTTCCGTACTGTTTTGGCCGGATTTGACATCTTGCCATTACGGTAAAAAGGCCATGGAGTGGTACGCCGCCAACAACGTGCAGGTGGTTCCCAAGGACAAGAACCCTCCCAACACGCCAGAGCTCCGTCCAATTGAGAAATACTGGGCTATTGTCAAGCGGAACCTAAAGAAGACTGTTCAGCTTGAATTCATTTTTTTATTTGAGGGCAAATGTATACTCCCGGGTGCAACCGATGAATTTTACAAACATTTAGAAAAGTTTTGAATGGTACATTAACCTTTATGAAAAGTTATGCGTGATTTCAACCTTTTTGTCCTAGGACTGTCACTATTCCATGTATTTCGATCAAGATTCGACCGTGTCACCCCATGTATATGCGAGCGAGAACGGAAGAATCATGGAGATTGCTGACGTTTTTCGTACGCACACTACGTCCATTTCTGACAAGTTGCAACTGAATGCTTATAATGGTTTTAAAATAACTGTTTCATGTCCAACTAGTTTTATTGCGCTTACTTATAAAGCAACGAAAAAATTTATTTTTTGGTTTTATAAGGGCAATTCATATTACTTTTTTGTATACTTCAAAGCAATCATAAAACCTTTCATAAGTGAAAATAGCATAAGAATCAGTTGGTTTTTTAATAAGCTTTATAGGGGTTTTGTAGATAGCTATAGGAATGTTTCATGACTTGCATTGTGTATGACCGTGATAAAGCTGTAGGTAATGGTTGCAGCTGCAATAAAACCTTTATAAATTTTGAATATAGCCATGCAGCTCTAGATTTGTTACTTGGGGTGAGAGGTCGCAAACCGGTCGAGACGCTAGAAGTCGGCACATAGACTATCCGTGAAGCTAGTCGACCGGAATTGCAAGGTGTCGCGAGTGTGAACTAAACCGAAAATAATTCCTCTTGAAGAAAGTGTGAACACGAACGCTATCCAGGTTTGCCAAAGGTCGTCCGTCAACATACGGCCATCCACCGTGAAGATCAACTCCGACCGAAGTCGGAACCGGAAGCAGTAGTAGTAGAAGCTCCCCCAGGCTGGTTGGGACCCGGTGAAGCTCAGCACAGCAGACGTCGAAATTGATTTCAGCTTGGTTCGCTTTCGGCAGCTAAGGGGACAGGTGAGTTTCCACTAGTGCGTTTGGTCGACCCTGATAATTATTAAAGAGGTAAGTTAGCTCGGCTGGCTAGTGAAGACGTCCGCGCCAAATACGGTGGGAAGTCTTCATTAGTTACAAAATGAAGAAAGAGTATTGGAGTATAATTTTTCACACTACTTTTTTCGATCTCAATGTGTTGGTAGAATCTGGAACTCGAAATCGAATGTTAAACATAGTCGTTGATATTAGCTGAAAATCAGTTTGCAGATGTGATGTTGAAATTCGGATATTCAAAAAACCCATGCAAGAGTGACGGTTAATGTTATTACATATTTAATTTACTTGTAATTTAATTCATTACTTTTCCCCACCTTTGGACCCTATACAATGTTAATTATATCTAGCATTTGATAGTTAGTACAGTTTATCATCATTTGTTTCCTTATTCTGCCATGTCTTGCAACCGGTTTTTTGTTTGGTTTGTTATTAACTTGCGTTTTCATTCGGTACCAGGGACTGATATTTAAACACATGTTGATGTTTTCAGTAATGGATACCATCCGCTCCTGGATTTTGTTTTGTGTCATGATATTCAGGTAGTCCACATTCCGAGGTGTTTCCATAAAATGATTTGAATGCATTTTAGATTTCTGTGTTATCTTGATCATCCTTTCGTAATATTGAATCAATCAGTTTTTTTCTGTTTTCCTTTGTATCACGGATGTCACACACATTGCAGTGTTGCAATTCTGCTTTTTACTGAAGCTGGAATGGATTTGGCTGTCATAAATTTTCTCAGTTTCTCTCGTCTGCTTTTTCCACGTTTTCGAAAAATTAAACATTCAGGTCTGGGATAAGGGGGACTGATTAACTGTGGTTTTTTGTTTTTCCAAAAAACATTATGTCTGTATGTAATTCATTGTTTTGGTTTTGCATCTGCCTTTGTTAATGGTTAATTGCTAAACTGTTTGCGTTGATCCATATTCGTAGACTGGTTTGTTTTTTGTTGTTGTTGTTCTTGATGAGTTATTTCTCTTTGTGTATTGTTTGGTATTTTATGTTTCGAAGTAATATTTTATGTACTTGTATTTTAATTGAATTTTCTTGCCGTTTTTGTTAAAAACTTTAAAAAATCAATTTAAATATCGTTTCCTTTTACTTTTGTTATTACTTATTATTCTTATATTTCTTCTTTAAAAATTGTATTTAAGGCCATTCCTGTTCTGAATTGTATGTCTTCTTGGAAAGAAACACTTGTAAAGGAAAGTCAATGTAAACATAACCTGACGAATGGAACTGAAACTTTTGTTTGATATTATTGATTGATTTTATGTAGATAAAGCTGAAAAGTTATACGAACAGAAAGAAGAAAAGAGTGCTCCAGAAAACTATTTTTGACGAAATATAAAATTCTTCGTGTTTAGACAGTGAGAGTTAAGCCACAAACTGAAAGCTAACAATTCAGAACAGTAGTTTCGATTAGGAGTTTTCTTCTATTAAAATTATAACAGTGCACAATAATTAAGTGATGCGACGTTCCAGTGTTGCCAGAGATCGCCAGCGACGAGCGAGAATTGCCCGTTAGAGAGCAACAAGGTTGGAAAAAGGTTCAGAAAAGATCACACCGTGGTGTGTCAAGTTTAGTCTTAATAGTATACCATTTTGAAGGCATTCGAAAGCATAGATCGTAGGTAAATGTTCACTGAAACCATTCGACTAAGCCTGTGCTGGTTGCTGGGCAGCACGAAGGAACGTCATAAAACTTATCTCAAAAAATCAAAGGAAAAAAACACGTGTATTTTAAAATTCTAAACGTAAAGGGAAAAAAATCTTTGGAACGAATTCTAGCTTAAAAGGAAAAACGTTAATCACATTCATCTTGAAAGATTCTCTTTCGCCCTAGGCGCGCATTCGGCTGCAGATTGAGATTCTCTTCGGCGCGTTATTTTCTGTTTGTCCGCTTTTATGATTTACATTAATTTAATTTATTACTTGCTTCTTCGTCGGTTGTTTAACCACTTTTTGCTCTAGTTCTAGTACAATTATATATAAGATTCCCATAAAAAGTTTCAATATTATTTCCTTTTCCTTCTTTTTTTCTTTAATATATTTTATCACTTTTTAAGAATAGATAAAAATATTTGTCAAAAATTTCCTCTTGTTTATATATCGTACAGTTAAAATTATTATCGAAATCATTTCAATTTTTCAACAAGAATGTATCTTTGTTAATTGAAAGTGGATAAACGAAAAACAAACCAAACAGAAATGAGAGTAAACCAGATTCAAGTGTAAATCAGTGACAACTGGGTGAAATTTCGAGGAAAATGAAGGTAGAACATTGTGCACCATTAAATGACAAACCGAGATATCTTTGTTTTGGGGCGTGGTGGAACTGCAGTTGCTTCCAACTGAAATGATTCCATTGCCGCGTTACTAATTATGTGCTCTTCTCTTTAATCATATGTTCGTGAGAGTGTTATATGAATGTGTGTGTGTGTATGTTTGTGTGCTCACTTTTGCATGTGTGTATGTCTGTGTGCATATTCGATAATCACAAGAAAACAAAAACGGTTAACTCTGTAGCTTGTATGTTGTTGTTTTTTTTTCTTTTTAATTGCATTCGCTGAAACATGACGACGCTTGCTTTGGTGTGTTGGTGTGACGCCGTTATGAGGCTGAACAATGCGCGCGCGCGTGTGTGTTTGTGCAGGAAACGGAGAAGTGTTGCCAGGATAAAAAGCGTGATTCGCGCTCTGGGGTCGAATGCATTTGCGTGAAGGGGAATTCAGTTTCGCTAGAGGACGTATAGAAACCAGTCAAAAACGGAAAGCTGAGAAGCGATGAAAACTGTGCTCAAAACCGCTTAGGGTCGAACCCGTCCATGCGGGTGACCATAGTCGTAGTAGTAGTTGGATTCTTATTGTTTTTTCTTCTTTTCTTTGTTAAGTTTATAAAAAATAATATTTTGACTAGGTAAAAGTCTCAGCTACGAGTTTGTAGATGTCGCTGAAGGCGTTTTTGGTAGAATTGTCTTCTTTTGTTTTGTTTTCATGTTTTTTTTTTCTTTATTTCTTTCTTTCTTTGTTCTCTTATAAATCGATAACAGTTTCTCATACTAAGGTATTTTGTTCAATGTTTTTTGTTTGCGATGTTGCACTACTTTTCTTTATGTTTTCTTGTAAGTTATATCGAATCTGTTATGTGTACAAACAAAACAAGTGAGATAGCGTAGTTTAATTGCTTGTATTTGTTGGTAGTTAGCTTATTTCCGCGCAGGCTTTCAGTATCAATGATCTCGTGAATTCGACGAGTCGGTATAGGAATGGGTATTCAGAAGGGTGTGGCAAGTTGATGTAAGTTTTCTTCGTTTCGATTTCTGGTGTCTACACTGCATTCTGGATTTTATATGAACTGATTTCAACGCAGAATGTTTCATTCTCATTACCTCAACTCATATGGTTATTGAAAGTTGTCCAAATAGCTTGATATTAGTTTAATTTGTTCAATTAACATCGTTCTATGATTTTGTCTAGAGTTTTACATCCCATTGTACTACATATGCTATATCTAAATATACTCACTGTTATGCATATTAATTGTAATATATTTTAGTTGTTTACTTGAAAAAAAAAATTGTATATATTTATACTTATCATGCGTTGCTGTTAAAGACAATGGTTCATCAAAGGTAAAGCATAAAAATAAATAAGCATTTGCTTTAGAATAAATAAATAATTTAAATAATAAAACAATATTCGTCTTTGGTTAATTTTTTTTTCATCGTCAAATTCGATAGAATACAAATAAAGAAAAAACGATAAAGAACAACAAACCGACCCAGGATCGGATCACAAAGCGCAAATCGATTAAACGAATGCTCCCCTCGCTCTCTCCATCTTTTCTTAGTAAAATTCCGTTAAAAACCACGTTTTCACTCGGTGTCGAACAGTTCCGTTGACAGCACCGTGTCGTTTGGGTTAGAGAGAGAGTAAAAGATGGTTGCTTTGATTGTCAAAATCACGAATTTCAGTATCAATCTAGAGAAGCTCATTGTTTTGAATTTCAATGTGACGTTTGTTGTTTAGTGTAGTATAGGTGTAGGTAAGAGAAAGAGAGTGAGAGCCAAACACCGTGCTTCGAGTGATTAATGTGGCTTCAGCCAGCGATCCTGGGATGATAAAATAAAAGAAGTGACAGCCGAAAAAAAATAGTACGAGTTTTTGTTTTCGAAAAACCTTTTGTTTTTGGTAGATCCTATCATATTGTTTTTGAACAGATACATCAATATTAGTTGTTTTGCTTCACATGTTGACATTTTCAGCGTATTTTTAATTGTTTAGTGATACTTTCATTTTGTTCAGTTTAGTAATAAATGTATAGTTAATATATTATATTTCTCGTCAGCTACTGTTTAATATATGCTTACATTTCATCAATAAATTTATCTTCAATATGATCGGGCACGAAATTGATATGTTTGAATTGTTGATTTATCGTAACACTTTTTTTTCTTCCATTGAATAATCTTTTATATCGTTAATTAGTCTAACTTGCATGCATTTTGTGAATCATTCCTCGTCTCATTCATTTTTTCAGAACTGATAAATCAAACCCAAGAACCGGACAGATACAACTTAGCCTTACGAAGGTCGGCATACAGTCAACAAGTATTAAAAATAAAGCTAGAAGGCATTTGAAGTTTGATTAGTAATACGGTATTTACTAAATTCTTAAAAAGATCGCTCGAAAAAACTCTCCTGTATGGGTGATTCTTAAAATTAATCCATTCTTGTTATGCTTGGTTCACGCTCCTAGGTCTTATGAAACGATATCTTTTGGTTACTCAATGTTACAACTACACTTACGGCGCCGTGTACATATAAACAAGTGAAAAAAATATGTCCATTTTTGCATATGTTGATAAAATCGACCTCACTTACTAACTGATAAAACTCGTGATCATTCTTTTTTTTTCAAACATGAATCCTTGCAAATGTGCTGCAAGGTTAGTCAAGTTTAATTTTCTCCTGGTGGCATTTCACTGCCCAACATTGTTTCGCTAAATCATTTATCACATATTTTTATTACAATTACATTCATTCAAGCTACATACCCTATCGTCTATTCCAGGACAGTGTATAACCCTTTTGTTCAAGGTAAATAATGAGAAATTATCGAGCGTCAACGTAAGCTTCCTTTTTCGGTATTTGTTTCTTAATCCATTTGTAATATTTTAGTTTATGCTTTTATGTTTGCCAGAGCTGTTAAAACATGACATGCGGGATGTCTTTAGAGCGGTTAGACGATAAAAGTTACTTACTCACTAAAGTTTACCTCCTAAACCATGTCACTTTCCTTACGATTTAAAGATTTAACCCAAAAGCTGATATGTATTCATTTAGCTCCCACGCAAAAGCAGGCCTTGGAGACAGCCTCGCAGGGGTCCGCCCGGTCGTAAACCGCCAGGCATCAAACATCCCGTGGACACTCCGCAGCACTTGACCTTCGCGGGGCCGGATCAAGATACAGATTGTCGTCTTGAAAACAGATCCATACTCATCCGATTTAACTACACACTGTATTGGACGGAATGATTATTCACTTCTTACGCCTTAACCTTTCCTTCATTTTCTTGCTTTTCTTGCTGGAATTGTTCACTCCCTTTTCGCTAACCTATTCTCTGCCTATCTTGTTGCTTTCCTGATGCTCATCGAGCGTTTCCGTGGTGATTCGGAAATACTCGTGGCGAAAACGCACCGCACACTTTGTTACGTGTTTGCTTGGATAGTTTTTCTTTTTTTTGTCAGAAGCTAATTCACTCACTAAATCAAACACCGAAAATAGTTCCACTACTTATTGCTATGTTTTGACCGCTTTTTTCGGTTCAATTTTTACACTTACGAGATATCGTTTTGCAGATGATGTTTCTCTTCCTGCCTGGAAGCAAAATTCAGCGGACGGAGATAGGCAACTCATTATCCTGCCAGAGGTCCACATTTTTATGTTTGGTTCAGTTTTCCAGTAGGTTTACTTTGGTACTTATAGCTTCTGTGTCACGAAATTTCATGTTTTAATTTGATTGACTTTCCGCTCGTTTCTTCCGATGGGAACTGATGCATCTCTTTGGTGTCCTATTTTATTTAATTGACGGTAACTTTGCATTTTTTGCTCACTTTGGACCCCTCCAGTTCTGTCTATCTCCATCCACCGAGCCTGCATCTTAGATTTGTAATGATTTTGTTATTTAACTATGCTTGTTTAACCCTAGCTTAAATTGATGATAATTTAAAATTCATGTTTCAATCATTTTTGTTTTTTTTTTTTGGATAAAGTTTACTTTTGATGAAGAGAAATAGTTTTGTCTAAAACATATTTCTTATGTTCGCTATTTGCAAGCTACTGATGCTTGCTTAGAGTACACTTTACGTACTAATTGTGATGATAGCTGATCTGATGATAATGCCGCTTTGTTGTTATTGATTAAAATGTTAACCAACTAAAAACCAAAACTCCTACCCATCGTGGTCTGTCGGAAACGGATCTTGGGTTAGCATGCCCTGAACATTGCCCCTACAGTTACCATCTACATAAAGTGTGTTCTTATGCAACTATGTGTAGTTTTACAAACTATCGTTCCCATCTTGGTTGATTTAAAAATCTTTGATATGCATGGATATTTTCATTTACACTTTAGTTTGTTATTGCTTGTTTACCGTTTCCTATAAACTACCGTTTGTTTGTTTTCCCTTTCATTGTGTATTTACTCGTTCGTGTAAAAATAACTGTAACGTTTTGAAACCCTAATCACATGTTTTTTTGCACCATTGTGCATGTGCACGCTTGTCCAAAGGGAGATTCATCATCGTTTCCTACTCGAATGGTATATTAGTACGGTTCAACGAAAAAGCAATAGCTGATAACAGGTAACGAAAGAGAAATTGAAATGTCAACATAGTTTTCGTATAAAAATCGTTCTAGGGCACATTACGGTTCAATTGGGGGGCCAAACATGGGCTCTGGTTTATCACATTTACACATATCAACTTAACGATTTTGGATTTCATTTTCTACTAGGGTGAATGGTTAAAACAAACGGTGTGAAATTGTTCACAGCTTCGGTTACATTGAGACGGTACATCAGTTCACGCCCTAGGCTGCGGAACGGCTATCGCGTAGAGTCCATTGTTGTTGTTGTTGTTGTTGTTGTTGTTGTTGTTGTTGTTATTGATATAGTTGAAACTGTTGCTGGTGTTGTAACGCCCAGCCGCGATGCCGTTACCTATGTCGTATCCGAGTCCGTTTCCGCTAGTTCCGTTGATGTAGGAGTTGTTGATGACAGCTGTTTGCTGTTGCTGATGATGATTTTGCTGTTGATACGGTTGCTGTTGCGGTTGTTGATGGGGTCAAGTTGTTGCCATCAAGTAAGTGTTGAGATCGGTTCGTTCACTCTTCTTCCCCAAATGGTGTTCCATTCTTGGCTCCATACCCGCTCCCCTAAAAGACAGAGGTAAGATTTGACGGTCAGTGTCATTCTAAAGCTCGTTTATACAGGGTCTGAAAAAATTGACCGGATTCCATGAACTACTCTTCTACATACTTCGGAATAGTTGATTGAATCAGGACGTCACTGGTTTTATTTACAAAAACTAACTTTAGTATACATCTAAATACAATGGATGCTCGATAAAAGCGTTTTAGAGGCTTGATCGGGTGCTATTGAAGTGTCGATTTTAGTCATGCAGTTATAAAACATTTTGAATGTGATTAATTTGCTTGAAGATGGTTAGGGGAAACGCTCCTATAGTCGCGGTACGTTAGAAGCGTTAGGTTCCTATAGTTGTGTACGGAGTCTCCATACACAACTATAGGAACCTAACGCTTCTAACGTACCGCAACTATAGGAGCGTTTACCCTAGTCACTTTTGTCAAAATTAACTGATTTTGAGCATCAATAAGTTTAGGGAGCATACATTAAATAGGTCATGCGAAATTTAGGGTAATTCAAACCTCCCTCCCGCCCTCCTTTCTTTAGTTTTTTTTTTCGAACGACGAGTACAAATTTTGGAAGCCTGCGATTGTGTACGTTCCAAAGGAGAAACGGACAAAGATGAAGCCCAAGGTCGTGAAGATGTTGTTCGTTGACTGTTCTGCAAATCATAAAGATTATCGAATGATTGACCCGATGACGCACAAACTGGTGCTGAGCCGAGACGTGAGGTTCGTTCCTGGTCAACATCATCTGTGCCAAAAAAGACAAAAACTTGATCGAATACCCTTTGCGAAAGATCCTAGTTATGATCCAGGAGAAAAGTGTGCCGACAAACAAGGACAAAGTCAACGAGATGGATGATGATTTTTTTTTCGATGCTACAAGTAGCAGCTTGATGTCGGATGTTGATGACACTATTATCGCCGAATAATACAATGTCCAGGAGGAGGAGGTGGTTGCAGTTGAAGGAGACCGTACACACTAAGATTATTTTACCGAAGTCTGTGAAATTTTACCGAAATCTCAACAGCTGAACGTTCGGTAAACAGTTCGGTGATTTTTCACAGATTTCCTGTAAGCTTTCACAGATATTCGATATCAGTTGGTGCGCGAGAATAAAGGTTTTCTACCTTTGCGTTATGGAGTGAATGCTGCCGTAGCTACGCTGAAGAGTGATCCACGGAGTGTTGCGGATGTAATCAAGAGCCCGTACTGAAACGAATGGAAAGCTGCAATGGAGGAGGATATGAAGTCACTGCGAGACCATGAGTGCTGATGAGTCTGCTTGCCGACGAACTCGCTGTCGGATGGATAATGAAAGATGTGAAGTTGTGCGTTTCAAGTCCCGCACAAGGTTTTACACAGAAGTATGGAAGTGATTGTGACGAGGTATTCACTTCAGTGACCAAGCAAGCGACACTAAAAACCCTCTTAACGGTTGCTGGAATGCGAAATCTGACCGTTTAACCCCTTTTTCGTGAATAAGTGAAGACAGTCTACCTTTACGGCGACAATTTTTTATGAAAGAGCCTCCTGGTTTTGAGACCAACTATGAAAAAGTGTGTTGCTTTAAGAAAATTCTTTACGGACTCAAGCTCGACCAGGATGTGGAACTGGAAGATTGATTCATTTTTCAAATAGACCGGATTTAAGTCCTCAGACGCTCACCCCTGCCTCTATATGCATTACGAGAAGGGAGAATCCTGTTTCTTCCTCATTTATGTCAAAGACATGCTCGTTTCTGCGTCAAGTCAGAAGGAATATGAGAACATTTGTTCGCATCTAGAGAATAATTTCACGTTAACAATCCTGGGTGATGTGAAGCATTTTCTTGGTATGCAACCAGACACGGCTACACATTGAATCAGCGGACGAACATCAAAAAACTTGCAATTCGTTTCAAAATGGAGGATGTCCGACCATCAAAAGTGCCTGGATTTCTACATCAGAAGGAGGAGAGTGAAGAACTGCCATCCAAGGAAAACTTCCAAAGTCTGGTTGGAGATCTACAGTATCTCGCAGTCAACACTCGACCGGACATTCCAATCTGAGCTTCCATTCTTTGCAGAAAAGTTAGTCATCCCACTGCAAGTGATTGGACAGAGGCGAAAAGGACCTTACGCTATCTTTGCAGTATCAGTGACCTGAAGCTGTATTTGGAAGGATACAACGAAGAGCTGATTGGTTTTGCAGATAAAGACTGGGCAGGAAATACTGTGGATCGCAAATAAAATTCCAACGATTTCCTGTACATCTAATGGCTGAGTGTTGCCAGGCAGGGTTACTTCCACTCACTTGCTATAAGTGGTGTCTATTGTTGTAAAGGCTGAATGATGAATTATATAAATAATTCCCTGCTTAAAATAGGGTATCCCTTCTGATGAAGTCGTCATTCACCCAACTCTTTCCTAGGGCCACATTATGGAACCAAGTCGATACTATTGTTTTCATAGCAGCGTTCATACGAAAAAAAAAGCTTCGTTTCGACTTCCTCAATGAGACCTCTGGAATTTGCTCATGAAAGACCAAATTTAAGGTGCATTGATGTTTTCGAAAGGAAGCTGTTGTGTACTACCCATGGTAAAAGGCAGATGGAAACCGGAACGTGGAGGAGAAAAATAAACCACGAATTGCATTAGCTGCTGTGCGAACTGTAGTATATGTGACATGGTAGTAATTAAAGAAAAATCAATTAACCTTCATTTGGTGTGAAGTCAGCTAATTGCATTTGGCAGCACTGAGCGTCGACGTACACGAATAGCTTATTGACAGATACGCACCGAGATTGGATTGAACTTGAGCTTCTGAAAGCTCCGAATACACGAATATGATCCGTGCCTGTGTAGTGACAATCGAAGATCGGCTTCGAAACGACGAATGCATAAGATGCGAAGTGAGGGAGATGAAATAAAGAATTAAAATAAGCCTTTGAGTTGGAAGAGTGCGACACGATTAGGCAATCGAGCCCGTTCAGACTAGCTCGCGATTCTGTTAACGATTTTTAAAGTGGACAGTCGCTGGTGTGGATCGCGGAAAAGTTTGGCTGGCGTCGCCTTTGACCCGCGAACAATGGAAGTGGCTTGAAACCTCGACCAGTTTACGAGACGAACTACCCATCGTCCATATTGCAAAACTCGGGCGACTATGGTGGGCTGGGAATGTTGAAAAAATCTTGATAGCGACCCGGCTGGAACAAGACGATGAGACACGCGCCGGGAAGATGGATCGACTAGGTGGAAGGATGGAGATGGCGTGGAGCACACGGCACCCTGTCCTTAGCCTGAATATGATGGTGATGGTTTGGCTAGATTTGTCAAGATGTCACTACAGCTGCGAAGTATTTCAGGGGTACCTTGACAACCTTGACATTAGGTGATTCCTTAAACAGTTAAAAAATGGCAGCTATGATGGCGGATGTGCCCTATAGTTTTCTAGAGCACAACTTTCAGAATCGGTAGCAAAATTGCTTATGAAATTGAAACTCTCTGTATGCTGCATTGCAACAAACGAGTAGTTCCAGCGATGTAATAATTTTCCTACGTGACAGGTTTCATTTAAATGGATCCAAATCAATCTAATCTTGATTATCCTTCCAAAATTTAAAATCATTGAATTATGATATCAGCTGCGATCAAACCAGTAACCCATGCATTATTTAAACGGTGTAATGATGGAGGCTTCATGGATAAACCATAGAGACCTTATGGGTTAGGTTCAGAAACTGTATTGCTCAATGTGTTTCGTAACAGATGAAAGGTTCAAATACAACCAAGGGTTGATACATATATTATGTCACGCTCTAGCGGGGGGGGGGGGGGGCGGTAGGGGGTGTATAAGAATTTGTGACAAGCATAGGCCCCAATACAATATCTACAGAGAACTTAAACTATTGAAGTTTGAGACCCTTTAGTCGTTTTGTGACCGAGTGGATCAAGGTCTATTGAGGAACAAGGTGTGTGTTATATAGTCACTTTAACACTCTCGGGTCATTCGTGACTTGTCCGGGGTGAGATTTGAACTCGTGGCATTGGCGTGAGAGGTATGGATGTTAACCACTACGCCGGGGTCGCCACCCGAATATTGATATTGACAACAATACAGATGAACAAAAACAAATAAAGCCGAACATTGTATTAGGTCCTAAGTAACATTGACAGACTCTCATCTGAATCGATTTTATCTTTACATCTCCACGGCCATGTAAAGACATTTCCAGCTATTTCAAACACACAGTTCGTTGAAAGAAACTATTATATAGCATATAATTCGCCATTACCGAAAGACTATCAAATCCATTGAAATCAAGCTGAGTATTGCATTAGGTCCTAAAAACATTAATCGATTCTCTTCGTCGACTTTCTCTTTCGTTAATAACTTGGGTACAGAATCGTTTCTTGTCGTGGTTGTCGTATTTGATGCTAGATAAAAGCTTCTTTTATCGATCTGTTTGCTGAAAATACCTGGGAATGTCTTTACATGGCCGTGGGGATACAAAGAGAAAGTCGACGAAGAGAATCTGTCAATGTTACTTAGGACCTAGTGCAATATTCAGCTTAAAATGTTGATTTCAAAACTCAGCGGGTTCTTTGATCTATGTCATGTCAACATTCAAATTCATGATAGTTGGTTTATCTTTTGATGTTTCCCTGATTTTCAGCTAATTTAAGTAAAGTAGAAATTATTGTTATCATCTATCCCGTAAAAAAAGAACCATAGAAGTACAACGAAATGAATTGTAACCATAAAATAGAGTTGATTGTATTAACAATAAATCGTATTGTCCACAAAGATAAAATAACAATAGAATTTATGGTATCCACAAGAGAATCTATGGTTAGAGGGGGAAATTTACAATAGAACAGAGGGGTTGTTATGTATCTTAACCATAGAAAAAACACTTTTTCCCAAACGAAATTGAGCCACTTACCATTAATTGTATTGTTGTTCTATTGCTGAAAATTATTACTATATGGGACGTATTGTATATCTATTGTAATACCAACATGTTAAACTTTATTGTACAATATACGTACGATAAGATTGATTGGTGACAATAGATTGTATTTTATTTTATGGTAATTGTATGGTTATTTTTTCCGGGATGCTATCAGAACTATATTAAAATTCAGTCTAAAGGTTCAATAATCATGCCAAAGCAAAATCACAACAACGAAAATGAAAACAAAAGAAGGTCATTCAAAAAACAAGTGCTACATACTTCTCGCTGTTGCATGTGCAGATGGTAAAAGTGGTGCGATGGAACGTCGGCAGCCATCTTGGATTTGGCGAACTCGATGCGCATGGCACCGCGATCCGACGAAAGGAGGTACTTGCCCTGCAGGGCGCACATGGCGGC